GTTTGTCAAGGTCACGATCAGGATATCTTCCCACAGCAAGTTGAAAACGTTGCCACTATCTGGACAGCTGGATATGTTTGCTTGGGAATGTACTTTTCCTCTTTGTTTATATGCTTTGCACTAGTGGGTGGGGTTCAGTAATACATATGTGAGTTTTTTTTTGTTTTTTTTTGAGACAGACTCTCCCTCTGTTGCCAGGCTGGAGAACAGTGGCACGATCTCAGCTCACCGCAACCTCCGCCTCCCTGGTTCAAGGGATTCTCCTGCCTCAGCCTCCCAAGTAGCTGGGATTACAGGTATACGCCACCAGGCCTGGCTAATTTTTGTATTTTTTTTAGTAGAGTCAGGGTTTCACCATGTTAGCCAGGATGATCTCGATCTTCTGACCTCATGATCCACCTGCCCCAGCCTCCTAAAGTGCTGGGATTACAGGCGTGAGCCACCGCACCTGGCTGGGATCTTTTATTCAAAAAAAAAAAAAAAAATTATCAGGCTGGGTGAGGTGGCTCATACCTGTAATCCCAGTACTTTGAGAAGCTGAGGTGGGAGGATTGCTTGAGGCAGGGAGTTTGAGGCCAGCCTGGCCAACATAGTGAGACCCCGTTTCTATTTAAAAAATTAAAAAAATATAGGTATGCAAACATCATATAGGGAAAAAACCAATAGCATATGTATACAGGTTTACTGCTATCCATGATCTCAGGCATCTACTCGGGGTCTTGATTGGTTTTTAAATTTACTTGCAAATGGTACTTTCATAAAATAAAAGCAAATGAAAAATCATTGCATTGGCCAGGTGTGGTGCTCACAACTGTAATCCCAGCACTTTGGGAGTCTGTGGCGGGTGGATCACGAGGTCAAGAGATCAAGACCATCCTGGCCAACGTGGTGAAACCCCGTCTCTACTAAAAATACAAAAATTAGCTGGATGTGGTGGTGGGCACCTGTAATCCTAGCTACTTGGAAGGCTGAGGCAGGAGAATCACTTGAACCCAGGAGGCGGGGGTTGCAGTGAGCTGAGATCACGCCATTGCATGGCGACAGACAGAGCGAGAAACACTGGCCTCAAAAAAACAAAACAAAACAAAAAAATCCCAAAAAACCAACACTGCATTACAGCTAAAAAGGAAGCTGGAAGGAGGGAGTGTCGGAGAAGGGGAGGGCTCTGGAGAAGGCCGCCAGGGCAGGGGGGCCTAACCAGGCTGGAGGTGAAGAGGGGGGCCCAGCGGTGCGTCCTGAGCGAGGTTCAGATAGAGGGCCTGGTGCTTTCGAGTGAGAGGAGGGCCGAGTGGCAGAGGCAGGCTGAGGCTCGATACATGGGGCTTTTAGACCCCGGTCGCGACTGTGGATTTTATTTGACAAGGAACAGGTGCCCATAGGAGGGTCTCAAGGAGGCATCTGGCAAGATTTATGTTCGTAATGGACTCTGTTGAGTAGGAGTGAGGGTGGAAGCAGGAGACTGCAAGGTGATGATGGGGTGGAGAAGGAAATAGCCTTCTCTATTGTCTTAGGGTCTCTGGCTGGGCTAAAGAATTACACTGAAATAAGACAGATCAGCAGGAGGAAAACATACAGATTTCATTTACGAGTCACACACACACACACACACAGACACACACACGCACGCACAATGACCAAGACCCTAAGAAGTGACTAGGGATAAGTACTTTTGTACCAGGTTGAACAAAGAATGGCAATTGTGTAATTAGGAAGATAAGGGTTCATTTAAAAGGTTTGTGGGTACAGATTTCTTTCGGGTCGGCTCTCCTTATCTGGTAATAAGAATGCCTTTCTTCCTCCGGGCATAGGGAGGGCGTCTTTCCCAGGGGGATTGTTATCTCCTGCTTTCTGGAAAAAAAGGAGAGGTCAGAGCACCCTTCCTGCATCTGCTGTTTCTGGAGTGCCTTTAGTCCAAAGAAATCGATATGGCAAAGTGGCAGATTCTGGAGTGATGTGTGCTGAACTCCTTCAGTGGCCTGGCCTGGATGGAGAGCGGCAGGCAGGCGCCGGAGAGGAGCAGTAAGGCTGGGTGCCGGGGGCACCTGATGAGCATTTACTCCTCCAACCTTCACAAGAACTCCGGGGCCAGGCAGTCAGGTGCGTACAATCTACTGATGTTCAAGGTCACTGCATGGTGGGGGCAGAGCCGGGGCTCCAACTCCCCTGTCCAGTCTTCAGCCCCTGTACCCCGACCTGCAGGAACAAGTGAATGAATACAAGAAGGGGGGCGCGCCTGGAGCAGAGAGCAGGGAGGGAAATCAGCAGGCATGCCAGGTAGGCTGCAGGGGGAGAGCTTTATTCTGAGGGCAGTGAGAAGCTGTGAGGAGGGGAGGGGGTCAGTGCCATGGAAAACCCACCCTTGACCCTGAGGACACGTTCCCAGGAGCCCACCCACACCTCATGAACTTGTATGAACAAGGACAATGGGAGGCTGAGACCTGGAGCGAGGGACTTGCCCCCAGCACATGGCAAATGGAGGGGCAGCATTCAGAGGCCAGGCCGGCTCCGGGTGTGCCCTACTGTGTGCTGCCGCATGCACAGTGGCACATCTGGACCAATTCAACTTCCAGTTCTCTGCATCCCCAGGTACCTAGTGACAAAGGGGGTCCAGCTCTGGTCCTAGGGAATGGCCCAGTATGGAAAGGAGCTTCAGTGGTGCCTGGCACATAGTAGGTGCTCAGCCAAGATCTGTGTCCTTTTCCTTCCCATCTCTGACTGTTCCTTTCCTTACCACTCCTGTGCTGAGGCAGGAATCAGCACAGGCTGGGGCATGGCATCCCAAGGCAACTGGGCCTGCGCTCCGGGCTGCAGGGCAGGGTCTCTTAGACCAGAGATCAGTAAATATGGCCCACGGGGCACATCCCACCCACCGCCTGTTTTTGTTCGACCTACAAGCTAAGAATGGTTTTCACAGATGACCATTTGCAATCAATTTGATGATAGAAAACACTAACTCTAAACTCTAATTAAGCAAAATCTGATGCCCCTAAAAAGAACTCTATTCTTCTCATTAGTGGACCTGCATTACAAAACACTGGCCTCAATTATTGTCATTCTATGTTGAGTTTTGTCAATCACAAAACAGTGAAAATCTGTTTTCTCGCTGCACAATGATTTTGCCCTTAAAGCCTAAAATACTGACTCTCTCCCCGTCCTTCCACTCCTCCCTGCCCGGGGCTCTCCAGATTTAACCAATCCCAGGACTAATGACCCCCATCGGGCCTCCCTGGTGGCCGGCCGCCGGTGAGCCCCGACTGCAGGACCAACGGTGGACTCCCCAGCTGGCCAGCCCCACACCCAGCCTTGCCTGGGGACACAGCTGTCGCCCCGGGGGACCTGTGCCGCAGTGGCCTTGGGGAGCTGCTCTGGCCACTGGCTGGCAGCCTCAGCTCCCCTGAGCACTGAAAACATTCTTTTTTCCAACTCCCTGCAGGAGCCAAGGCCGGCGGCGTGGGTGGCTGAAATCTCCCCGGTAACAGGGTCTGCCCCCTCCTGCTCCCTCTCTGGGCCCCCACCCCCCACACCTGCTCTCCGGCCCTCGGCCCCTCCCCGCTGGCTCCCTCCTTCTCGGGCTCCATGTCACCATCTGTGGCACAGTTCCTCTCTGTCACTCTCCTGGCCGCCCCCTCGCTCTCCTTCCTCCCTCCTCCTCTCCATCCTGCCTCTCCCTGCATCTCTCCCTCTCGCCAGTGTCTCCTCTCCTTTCCTCCGTCTCCTGTCACGCATCTCTCATCACTCCCCCTCATTCTGCCTTTCCTCCCACTCACCGGCTCCTCTCTCCCTCTCCTCTCCCTCCCCCTCTCCCTTCTCCACCTCCTCCCGACCCCCTTTCCCCTCTATTTCTATTGGCTTCTGCGTCCCTTGTTCCCCCTTCTCTTCTTCACCCTGGGAAGCTTCTCCCCTCTATCCGTGCCCCTGCCCCCCCAGGATGTGTCCTGGAGATGGGGGGTGACGTACCAGGCACTGGTTGGGAAGTCAGGGCCGGAGACCAGATGGGAGAGGCTCTGTGGACAGCTGTGGCGGAGGGCCTGGGAGGGGACCCAAGCCCGCAGGCAGACTAGAAGTGGGTGCCGTGTGGGGACCCCAGTTAGGAGTGCCCTGGGGCACCTGGGGACTGGGCAGGGAGAGGGGACAGCAGAATGATAACCAGCCTGGCGGCAAGGAGGGGAGCCCTCACCCCATGGGCAGGTAAGGAGGCTGGGGCCCGGGTGATGCCCCAAAGGGTGGGGTCCCGGAAGCCCATTCTCTGCTCAGGATGAACTTGGGAGGCTGGGGCTGGGGAGACAGAGGGTGGGGAGTCCCAGGGAGGCAGGGGGGAGGCCTGGTGGGCCGCAGGGGCGGGGGCACTAGTCTCAGAATCTTGCATGATTCTAGGATCTCAGAATCACAGAATCGCAGGCTGTCGGGGCTGGAGGAAGCCAGATGCATCATGCTGGCTTCCCCAGCTCACGTGGCAGCTCTCCTGAGCTCCCTTCCATGCCCGGCCCCGGGCTGGGCACACCTCAGTGTAATCTTTGCAACGACCCTGGGAGGTGGGTCCGCTTGTCTTCCATATGAGGAAACTGAAGTCCTGGGGGGAGAAGTGACTTGTCCAAGGCCACGTAGCAATGTGGCAGTCGCTGTGCAGTGGAGCCCAAGCCTCCAGCCCGGGCCTGTGGGGTGTGCTCCTGGGATCAGGCCCCAGGTCTGGGGTGCGTGTGCGTCAGTTGGCACTGACAAGCATAAGCCACGTCTCTTTGCGGGGGAAGGCCCGAGGATGTAGAGGACAAGCAGACAGCCAGGGGCCATCACCCTGCACTATTCAGGACTGTCACAGCCTTTGATTCTTCTCAGCCTGAGGCCTTCAGAGGAGCCAGTGTGGCCAGGAGGTACTGATGGTTTAGAAGTAGACAGAAGTGGTTCGAATTCCCACTCTCCACCTGGGTTACCCTGGGCAACTTACTGAACCTCTCTGAGCCTCAACTTCTCCCTCTCTAAAATCTCTTCCTCTTGGGCTTCTTGAGGATCTTAAGGATCCGGTGATACGGGTCTGAGGCTTCTTCCTGGGGACAATGTCCCACTTTGGAGCTCTCTCCTTGCTGCGCTGCTTGGCTGTTCACATTTACGGATGTTCTGGGTCATGTCCTAGGTTCTGAAGTTAAGAAAAACATCATTCAGGGTCCCTGCATTCAAGAGCCAGTGTTCTGGCGGGTAGGAGATGGGCCAGTGGAGAATAATCAGGGTGCCTGGGCTCCCTGAGCTGTAAGGGCTGTGGGGCTCCGGCAGCCACTCACCCCCTCTGTGCCATCTCCTCCTGAACAGTCCTCTGAGGAGTCCGCCCCCAGCTTTCAGGCAAGCTTGTGCCAAAGATAAACCAGACAGGGAGGAAAAGTCCCTCCTTCCCAAGGATGAACTAGATCAGGCACAGGATTCCAGCTCTTTAAAGAAAAGACGGCCCCTCAATTGCAGGTCTGGCTTACGCGCGTGGAAAACTGTAATTTCCCTGCCTCTGCTGCCTGGGCCGGTCAAACTTTGACTGGGAAGGGGTCGAGATGAGGGTGGAGGCAGGGTTTTCCGGGGGTGAGGGGTGGGCAGGGGTTCTGGGAGGGGCAATTGCATTCCCTGGTATAAAGGTGGGTCTGGCTAGGCACGCCGTGTTCCTGCCAGGACGATGTCTGCGTCAGCGCATGCTCTTGTGGGTGCACAGACGTGCACTGGGCAGGTGTGGGGGGGCAGCCTCAGAGCTTACCCTCCGAGGGCTACCCCAGGGGCATCTATCCCTGAAGCCTGGAAATTGGGCTTGCCCAGCTCCTTGCTTCTCTCTGGAACCTGATGCTCCCCTCCCATATCTAGCCCTGGCTTGCGATTGGCTGACCAGCAGGGATGCTATAAAAAGGATCTGTGTGTGGCACAGGATGGCAAGGTGGGTGGTGACGTGGGTCCCCCAACCAAGGAGGCAGGACTCTGAGGTCCCAGGCTTCACAATTCCAGGTCTAAGAAGGACTCATTCTAACATTCTGAAATTCTAACATTCTCTGATTCAAGGACACTGGGTGTAAAATCTGATGGCTCTAAGATTCTCTGTTCTAAGAATTCAAAATTCTGTTTTTAGCCCTCTAAGGTCCATGAGGCTTTGAGTCCATGATCCTCATAGCTCAAAGCCCTAAGGGCAACTGGGAAAGCTGGATACCAGGTGGGCACTCAGGCGGGTGCCTTCCCAGGCCTGGCTTCAGTTTGCCAGGCTGCGGAATGGGCATAGAAGTGGGGTGTGGTCGCCACAGGCTTTTCCAGATTTGCCTGTTCCTAGCTGTGAATAGAACATGTGACCTCACGTTTGCTCCTCATCTGTGCATTGGGAGTGACAGTAGTGCCTTCCTCATAGGACACCCTATAGGATGCTGCAGTTCACTGGCTTAGCCTGGCACCTGGCACAGTCAGGGCTCAGTGATAAGCAGCTGGCAGCCCCGTTGGGATCCTTTAGCCCACTGTCCAGGTGCCCCTCCCTTAGTGCTGCTGTCCCAGGCTCAGGAGAGCTGATGGGGGTGAGGAGAAGGATGGGTTGAGGATACGTTGGGGGATGACCCAGGCTCAGAATCCTCTTCTCCCAGCTCCAGGAACAGGGAGGAGATGCTCTGAGCCACCCAGCTTGGGATGCATTTGGAGACTCCATGGCCTAGGGGTTCCTTGCTACCCTTGGCTTCGCCCAGCCTGGTACTCTAAGTCCATTCATCAAATGAACCTTCTCTGGTTAGATGCCCTCTGCAGCCCCAGGTCCTTGGGGCAGGGGCAGCCAGGCGTGCTCAGATGCATTTGTTTGCATTTGGGGTGCCTTCTCTTTCCAGGAGCTTTGCACCTCCACAGTGACGTCCGTATAGGGCAGTGCAGACCGCAGCTCCCACTGGGGGGAGGAACTGCAGGCCGAGTGTCAGGGAGATAAGAGGAAGGGCTTCTCCTTGGAGCGATTTCTCTTCCCTTCAGGGTTTTCTGCAGGGAGAATCCAAGGACAACCAGGAGCCAGGGGATTGGGGGATCATTAGGAAGAAGGGCTGCAGTGCGTGGTCCAGGCCACAGAGGAGGCTCCTGCTCCCAGCCTGGCTCTGCCTGGGCCTCCTCCTGAGCGTGGCTTTCCGAATCGGGTCCTGCCATCCCCCCGGCATTGGAATTGGTCCACTCCAGGCTTCTCTGGTTCATTTGATGCCTGACACTGGGGCAGAGCTTGTGCCTGTGCGTGAGTGATGCCGGGAGGCAGTGGGGAGGGTCCGAAGCTGGCTGGAGATTCCACATGGGAGGGGAGCAGAGTCTCACAGGGGATCCCCGAGGAGCCCCACTTCTTATACGCAGGCATGGGATGAGAAAGGCACTAAGAAAGCCCGGGGAGTGTAGTCCCTTCTGAAACTGGCTGGCCCCTTCTCCAGGTGGCCGGCCCCACCAGCCAGTGGGCTACTCTTGGATAGCACCTACCAGGAGAATTGTAAAGTCCTCCAACCCCAGGCGGGCCTCTGGGGAGAAGGGGCCTCAGCAAACCCAGGTTTGCAGCCAACCTTCCTGGGCAGGGTCTTTGGGAGGGGCACAGTGGGATGGCCCAGGCTGAGGGGGTGCCTGAGGGCTCTGACTCCCAGGGGAGGGGATGCCAGAGCCTGTGGTTCTTAACAGCATCTGGAACCTGAAGACTCTGATAACAGCTCTGCCAATGACCTTCAGCTGGAGTTTAGGGCGTTCATGGACCCTCAGGTTCATTTAGGGAGCGGGGTTCCAGGTGAAGCTCCTGTGATTTGAAGCAGTGTTTTTCACATGCGAGGGTGAGACCTACTGGTGGCATTGCAACCCACTTCTCAGGGCCCTGCCAGCTGGGGCCTCACTTGTAGACAGGGCGGGTATTGGTTGACGAAACGGTGTGACTTCATGTCGCACAGTACACCCTCGCTACGTGATGGAGCCTCCCTGAGCCTCGGTTTCCTCATCGGGGGAAAGGGGATACCCCCACTCAGCCTTGTGTGGCTGTGCAGGGTGAATGAGATGGTGAAATCTCTCAGACGATGGGAGGATGGGCATGCAGCATGATGGGAGGGGCAGCAGAGAGAAAGCCATCCTCTGCCGTGACCGAGCTGTTTTCCCTTCCCCCAGGCAAATAGCTGACTGCTGAGCACCCCCTCGGCCATGGACACGCTTCATCCATCATCGGTGTCTACGACCTCAGAACCCGAGAATGCCTCCTCAGCCTGGCCCCCGGATGCCACCCTGGGCAACCTGTCGGCAGGTCCAAGCTCGGCAGGGCTGGCTGTCAGTGGCGTTCTCATCCCGCTGGTCTACCTGGTGGTGTGCGTGGTGGGCCTGCTGGGAAACTCGCTGGTCATCTATGTGGTCCTGCGACACACGGCCAGCCCCTCGGTCACCAACGTCTACATCCTCAACCTGGCACTGGCCGACGAGCTCTTCATGCTGGGACTGCCCTTCCTGGCTGCCCAGAATGCCCTGTCCTACTGGCCCTTCGGCTCCCTCATGTGCCGCCTGGTCATGGCGGTGGACGGCATCAACCAGTTCACCAGCATCTTCTGCCTGACCGTCATGAGTGTGGATCGCTACCTGGCCGTGGTGCATCCCACGCGCTCGGCCCGCTGGCGAACGGCTCCGGTGGCCCGCACGGTCAGCGCGGCCGTGTGGGTGGCCTCGGCCGTGGTGGTGTTGCCCGTGGTGGTCTTCTCGGGAGTGCCCCGTGGTATGAGCACCTGCCACATGCAGTGGCCAGAGCCGGCGGCGGCTTGGCGAGCCGGCTTCATCATCTATACGGCCGCGCTGGGCTTCTTCGGGCCACTGCTGGTCATCTGCCTCTGCTACCTGCTCATCGTGGTGAAGGTGCGCTCCGCCGGGCGCCGGGTGTGGGTGCCCTCGTGCCAGCGGCGGCGACGCTCCGAGCGCAGAGTCACGCGCATGGTGGTGGCTGTGGTGGCGCTCTTCGTGCTCTGCTGGATGCCTTTCTACGTGCTCAACATCGTCAACGTGGTGTGCCCGCTGCCTGAGGAGCCCGCCTTCTTCGGGCTCTACTTCCTGGTGGTGGCGCTGCCCTATGCCAACAGTTGTGCCAACCCCATCCTTTATGGCTTCCTCTCCTACCGCTTCAAGCAGGGCTTCCGAAGGGTCCTGCTGCGACCCTCCCGCCGCGTGCGCAGCCAGGAGCCCACTGCCGGCCCCCCCGGAGAAGACTGAGGAGGAAGATGAGGAGGAGGAGGATGGGGAGGGGAGCAGGGAGCGGGGGAAGGGGAAGGAGATGAACGGCCGGGTCAGCCAGATCACACAGCCTGGCACTAGTGGGCAGGAGCGGCCGCCCAGCAGAGCGGCCAGCAAGGAGCAGCAGTTCCTTCCCCAAGAGCCCTCCACTGGGGAGAAATCCAGCACACGGCACACCAGCTATCTGTAGGGGCCTGGGGAGAGCCAGGGTGGCCCGAGGAGGGGGCAGAAGCTGTGGGTGTGCTTGGGGCATACTTCTCAAGGTGCCAGAGGCCCACGACGGGATGTTGAGGGGCCTGGGCTTTCTGTGTGACCTTGGGTAGGTTTCTTCCACTCTCTGGGCCTCGTTTTCTGCTCTGACTCAGGGATAGGAGTCAGCCTGGATGAGCTATGTCAGATGCGAGGTCTGTAGGGCACTGCTGCTGGGCTGACCTTGCTGAGTGGGACCCAGATGAAGAGGTGGGTGCAGACTGGCATCCCCCCACAGGGATACAGTGTCTTGAGGGATCAGCCTGAATCTTGGCCCTCAGAGGGATGAACCAAGGCTCCTTCCTGGAGACTGAGGGAGGGACCCAACCCATGAGGACTGGCAGAGTGTCTGAGGAGCACTGTGGGGAGAAGGAAGAGGAGGGGAGAAGAGGAAGAGGAACACAAGGGAAAAGGGGGAGGATGAGGAGGGGGAAGAGGGAGGGTGAGGAGGGAGAAGGGGGAGGGTGAGGAGGGGGAAGGGGGAGCACAAATCTGTTTCCTGGAGCCATCTTTGGCCCCTCTGGGCTGAGCACAATGGTAGCATCTGTGAACCTGAGTTGCTGACAATGGCCCCAACCAGTACTGAGGAAAGGACATGGCCAGGCTGGAACCGCCAGGGTGGAACGGCCACAGTGGAACGGCCAGGCTGGAACCGCCAGGGTAGAACGGCCACGGTGGAACGGCCAGGCTGGAACCGCCAGGGTGGAACG